CTACACACACACACACACACACACACACACACACACACACACACACATCACACACACACACACACACACACACACACACACACACACACACACACAGCTATAGGGCAGTATCTTGCCTGCAATGGTAGAAAGGCTCCACCACTATCAACCAAATAGATACATGGAAGGCGATTTTGCTCAGCAATAGCCTGACTTCGTAGCTGTTTTTTAACTGCTATGGGATAAAGTGTTCCTCCTTTCACTGTCGCTTCATTTGCTAAGATCATGCAGTGCTTGCCATGGACTTTACCAATACCTGTCAATAAAAAAATTAATATTTTATCATTTGACTTTTCTAATTTTACATTAATCATATTTGCCATTTAAATTATCATATTCAGGTAAGTTTTTAATATTATACTTGAAAGTTTGTTATCAAATTGTGTCATTTAAATAAGGATTATTAATCATCATTGCAAACTGTAGTTGTGAATGTTTCTTACTAGCATTAATTACAGTCTTTTTGTTTGGCAAAAAATAAGAGTACCATAGGTTTGAGCTTTAAGTTCAAAACATTAAAACCATAAGACAAGAGCAAGCACCTGCAATAATGCCACCTCTGGGGACATCACCATACTCCATGCGCATTCCACATAAAGGAGACAACTCAAGAAAGTCACTGTCATCATCCAATANTGAAATGCAGTTTTTTTTAACAAGTGCTATTTTTTTAACAAGTTTAAAAATCTAAATTCGTCTAGACAAGCACTTACTCAAATTTTTCCAAAACTGTTATGTTTACCTTTGTAGGCACAAGAATATCTAATTGCTCAACCCCATTGAAACTATCGGTCTACATAAATCAATCCAACTCCACCGGGACTGAATACAATCAGTTTAACATGCCTCCTTTTGTTTCCAAAATACTCTTGAAATAACCAGCTCTTTGGTATTCTACATAATGCCAAAAAAAGACATGTCAATCTGTTAAACTGATTGCATTCAAAGAGAACCCCCACGGAGTTGGATCGATCTATGTAGACTGAAAGTTTCAATGGGAATGAGCCCTGAAGTTAGTTTATAGGAATGTCATATCATGAGTTTAAATTTCACTGACCTATATTTGTTTCTGAACTGAAATCCCCAGATCCTGTATCTTGGAAGAAAATCAATGGGATTTTCCTTTCATCACACATACGAACAAAGTGTGCCCCTTTTGCTGCTTCTTGCTCACTAAGTGGACCATCATTTGCAACAATTCCAACCAAATGCCTGAAAATTGCATTTAAGAAATAATGTAGTAGGATTTCCATAAAATATTAGCGAGTTTTTTGTCATTTTCTTATTAATTACAAATGAAATAAAATTTAGTTATAAATTAGATATACCATTTTACACTTCAACTAAAAAAAAAAAGATGGTTATAAAAATTGTACACTAGTGTTTTTCAAAAAGTTTGCTTTTCTGTTAATATAATTCTAAGAAACATGCATTTTTAATGACAGTACCCATGTATGTGAGAAAACCCTGTCTTCAAAGAGCAGCCAAATTTAGCTTTGAATTCATGAAATCTGCTTCCATCCACAATTCTAGCCAGAATCTGTAATTCAAATGCTCTTCATATTAACATATATATTTTGTAAACTGTTTTGTTTTTCAGAAAGCACTATTTAAGGGGGTTTTCACAAGACTTCATGAATTTTAATATAAAACATGAAACAACAAAATAAGAACCAAACTCACAAAGTAAAGAAGTCTACAAACTTAACTTTGGATGGAAACATCACAATAGGCATACAAAGGATAAAGGATGTTCTGTTATGAAAATTTCAACCCTATCAATCCACCAAATGACGGACTAATCAAACCATCCAGCCATTACCTTTGTGGCGTCTAGAGACTTTGAGAGATCTGATGGTACCAGGCCTGGCAGCTCCTCAGGGCTGAACTGTGGCTCTTCATAACTGGAGTGACCAAGTCTGTCTGGGATGTTTAGGCTTGCTACTATGTCCCTGCCATACTCCAGACCCTCCTCTTCTGTGTGGGCAAAGTAATCTGTGCAGCCACTTACACTGGAATAAAATACTTCAACTTATTACATGTTGAATTATTAAAGAATTAGGGCTGGGGGGGAGGGGGGGCAAAATAATACATCAAGTATTAATTAAGAACATTGGCAAATTTTTCACCCACCTCATAGGTTAATTGCCATGTGGGACGTTGATAGAAATAATATTCTACATAAAAATCATTTTACAATTTCCACATTTTAGCATCATCTTTAATTCATCTAGATTCTTGTTTTCATTTAAGACATTTCCACTAGAATTTTGACAATGACCCAATGATTTATTTTGAGTTACAAATAGAAAACCGTTGTTAATTTTTTCTTTATATCATTATAATAAAATCAATATCTCTTTTTAGACACAAAAGTATTATATCTTCATGAATCAAGAAAATCATAAGGGCTACAGAACATTCCAGCTGTCTACAACAAATGCCTCACTTGGTCAATCAAATCAGCCAATGTAATTTTTTTTTTTTCGTTTGTTGGTTCTGTTTTCATAATAATGAAATTTTGAACTGTTCAATTCCAACACTAACTGAAAGCAAACCTGTAAAAGCTTTGTCCCAATGGAAGCTTATCATTATGAGTAACATTACTACACAGATCAATTTCCATCAGAATACTTTCTTTTACCTGGAGTGTAATTCTGCTCCACCCAGTTCCTCTGTAGTGACCACCTCCCCTGTGGCAGCATGCACTAGGGGTGGACCACCCAGGAAGATATGTCCAATCTTCTGTACTATAACAGTCTGGTCTGACATGGTAGGAATGTAAGCACCTCCTGCTGTACAGCTACCACATACTACAGCTATCTGGAGAAGAAGGTTGAAAAAGAAAAAAATATGCTCAGATCTAAATGCCAAAAAACAATTTGCCTTTAAAAAATTCATGTGTTTTATAGTCTTCAGGAAATTGCATGCAGATGGACTCTGCTGACATGAACTAAGGTATTGCTTTATTCCTAAAACCGATCAATGTTTATAGTAACCATGGAGTCATGCGATATCTACATACTCATGAAATATTTTAATATACTACAACTAGCTTTCATTTGAAAACTTATTTTGTTATTAAAAGGACATTTAAAATATTGAACTTTATGACAAAATGCTGGTTATGAAATAATTTATAAACTTTCGTATATCAATATAAGCAAAAAAAAACACCATTCAAAAATAAAAAAGTGAACACTTATCTTTGTTATGAATTGTTTGTCCTAGCAATAAGAGCATGATAACTGCTTTAACTTTTTTACCTGTGGAATCCCCTTGGCTCCCATTATAGCCATGTTATAAAAAACACGTCCACCATGATGCTGATCAGGAAATATCTCTGCCTGTGAGGGAGAAGAAAGCAAATAAATATATATGGGTTTTTTTCTACAAGCACTGCTTCTCAATCTTATAAATAAACAAAATGTTTAGAATTCATTTAAAATTCCAAAATTTCCTACAAATTATTTTATCAACCTACTTTTTTCTCAACATGTTGCTCATAAAAATATGCCAACAATTATTTGAGCCAATAAAGGTTTTTTATGCTAAGGCACGTAAATGTATAAATCACTTGATCATGGCCTGCATGATTAGCTTAAATCCATCCTCTCTCTGCACACACACACACACACACACACACATACACACACACACACACAAAAAAAAAAAAAAAGCAATAGGGCAGTATCTTGCCTGCAATGGTAGAAAGGCTCCACCACTATCAACCAAATAGATACATGGAAGGCGATTTTGCTCAGCAATAGCCTGACTTCGAAGCTGTTTTTTAACTGCTATGGGATAAAGTGTTCCTCCTTTCACTGTCGCTTCATTTGCTAAGATCATGCAATGCTTGCCATGGACTTTACCAATACCTGTCAATAAAAAATACATATTTTATCATTTGACTTTCTAATTTTACATTACTAATTTTTGCCATTAAAATCATCACATTCAGTTAAGTTTTTAATATTATACTGAAAAGTTTGTTATCAAATTGTATCATTAAAAAAAGGATTATTAATCATCATTGCATACTGTAGTTGTGGATATTTCTTACTAGCATTAATTACAGTCTTTTTGTTCAGCAAAAAATAAGAGTCCCTTAGGTTTGAGCTTTAAGTTCAAAACATTAAACCATAAGACAAGAGCAAGCACCTGCAATAATGCCACCTCTGGGGACATCACCATATTCCATGCGCATTCCACATAAAGGAGACAACTCAAGAAAGTCACTGTCATCATCCAACAGTAACTTGATGCGATCTTTGGCTAACAGTTTCTTGTTGCGTTTAACATGCCTCTCCACAGCTTTTTCACCACCACCAGCATGAGCAACTTTTAGAACGTCCAGGTAGGTCTTTTCTATGCGTTTGTTGTGTTGCAAGTTGGCGTCGAATTCCTGAGTATTGCTGTCTATTTTGCCATCCAAAATGCGCGAAAAGGCTATCCGCGTATTGTTACGCGTTGCGCCTTTTAATACTGCTGATCTATATAGTCTAGTTGCACAAAATCTGCATTTCGAAAACATAGTTTACCAGGGGTGTCTCAATGTGTAAACGTCCTTCACCCTTTTTGACCCACTTCACTCTGACCAAGACAAGATTTTAAAAATCACGGATTTTTTAGGCAAATTTTGTATCCAATCAAATTGAAAACAATTGCTATTTTCATTTTTTCTTTTCTTTTTTTTAAAAAATATACGTACCATCATTCGATCGCATTTTATAACTCTTACTTTGTGAGCCTCGGTAAAACCGCGGCTCCGCATTTGACATCTCCCGCCATTTTCAAGAGGTACACAGGTAGGTTTCAAAGAGGTATTATGCATTAGCCAGAACGTTGGTCCCCGCGTTTTCATTGCTGCTTTATACTTTTATAAAGGTTTGTCTAAGACAAGAGTGCTTCTTTCGTGCATTTACATCATGGGTATTGTCTCCAGATTCCATTAATTTGACACTGGATTATCTCTGCATACCGGTAGAATTTAGAAAGTAGTACTACATCTACTACTGTGTATCACTAGGTTTGGTCAGGAAAAGTAAAAAGAAATATTTGTATCAAGTCACCACGTCAGACTCGCTAGCCATTCTGATCTCATCTGTGATCTGATTATCCACCGTCTGTTGCTCTTGGTTTGATTAAAAAGTACAGCTACTAGTACTGTTTTATGGTTGATTTACGAGCCACATACAGGTACAATATATATTGATACAAAAATACACACATATAGAAGCAATTAGTATCTCCAGCTTTAGTCAATGTCAAATTAGTTTTTTATAACCATTTCATCTGCAATTCATTTAATGTAACCTGTAGAAAGAGAGGAGAAAATGGACAAACGGAAGAATCAACCCTGGAAGGGTGGTCCCCCTTCTAAGAAAAACAAGTGAGTGTTGTGGGTTTTTACATTAGTATTATAGTATGCCTGACTCTGGGGATCATAACTTTATTTGCCAGACATTGTCATTTTAGTACTTGCCAAGATAAAAAAAAAAGATAAAAAAGCAAATGTGTATAAGTATGATAAAATGAGTATATAAATGATTGTAATATGAACAGACATTTATTTTCCTTTCAATGAATTTGAAAATTTGTAAGTGCTTTTGCATTCTGTTATAGTTATCAAATTTCAGTTTCATTTTAGTAATGATTATATATTGCTGATATGTATTAATGATCCATATTAATGTGTCATTTCAGGCAAGATGATGATGGAGATGATCCATCAACCTTTGAAAGTGAGTTGGCCATGCTGGAGGATATGGAGAATGATATGATGCAAGAGTCAGAATCACAAGAAATATTGGGTAGGTTGAAAGCAATGAACATTTGAGAATGGTATTAAACAATGGGTTCAAAAGTATGTAATTATGTTCTCCACATATGCTATCAATAGCTCCTTTTTTTACAAATCATTTAAAGGTTCTGTTCAGTAATTTTTATTGTTTGCTTTAAAATGTTATATAAAACTGTTGTAATACTTTAGAATAATAATATAAGTTGTTTATTTAAATATCTTACAGGAGAGGGCCCAGAATATATGACAACATCTGTGAAATGGTCCCGTCCACCTCTGCCTTCTATAGACCCCAAGAAAGATACAATAATCTTCCAACAGTTGGATTTAGATCATTACACAGGTTTGTCATTCTGTTTGCTCTTCTTTCTCCCTTTTGTAAGTAAAAACCTTTATTTCTTAGTTTAACTATTTGATGCTGCATGCCCCTGTAGAACTTTTATTGTAAACGTGGCCATTATAAGTGTCTATGAGAACTTACACATCATTACATGGATGTTTGTTTACATCAAGTTAGCAAAATTTTCAATATCTTGGTAGAAATATAGTTAAAAGATCGTCATAACTGTTTTACCTATGTACAATTAAAAGTCTTACGATAATATAGGGTGGTTATGAATTCTTGGTAAAATTATCTCTGAAAGATTGTTTTTAAGAAATTATGTTTTACCCAAGTTACCAATGTATTTATTTAACTCTCAACTTCTAAACTTTTAATATGAAATAAAACACATTACACATACATTTTTTTCTTCTTATTCTTTTGTTACTTATAATTTATTCAATTGCGTATATACAGGCACCCATTTTCCTGGAATGCCAGGTTCTACAAAAGGCCCAGTGCCCATAGTCAGGATGTATGGCATCACTATGGAAGGGAACAGTGTTATGGCTCACATCCATGGTTTTGCTCCATACTTTTTTGTTCCTGCACCAGATGGATTTAAAATCTCACATGCTGAAGACTTCAGGGTATAAAGTTATTTTTCACTTTTCATTGACATTTTCCTTTTGCTTCCAGTGAAGTTTTAATTCTTAGAATTGAGTGTTTACTTTCTCATTAACTGATTTTAGTCTGTGGTAATTTATATTAGAAAAACATTAATAATCCAAACAAAAAAATGAAGATTGAAATGTGAAAAGCAAAGATGAAATACATTTGTTGAAATATGTTTACATTTACATTTTTGTACTATGTATCATTGTAGCAAGCGTTAAATGAGGCTGTGGTTAAAGATATGCGCTCCAACAAGGACAACGTGGTAGACGCTGTGCTAGCAGTAGAGCTAGCCACAAAAGAAAGTAAGAAAAAATGGTCTGCAAAAATATTTTCTAGCTAATTTATTATCCTGATAAAATAAGATAATTTCTTTTTTTTCTGGATTCCCACTTTTGTTTTAGAATTTTTGTCAATATTTGAGTAAGGAATGATTGTTTATGTAATACATTTAATCTCATTTATGGAGATATTTGCACATTTTTACTAAATTGTAGGACTTCTATGTGTTTGGGCTATGCTATTTCTATTAAATGTGAACATGGTACACCAGTTGTCAGCTTCAGACTATTTAATTACACCATAAATAAAATATTAAAAAAAGGATTATCTTTTTATTTTAAAATGAATCTGTCATGCCAATTTCAGATATATATGGATTCCACACAAATGGGAAGAGAGATTTCCTGAAAATTACCGTGGCCTTGCAGAGACTAATTGCTCCAGCCAAAAGAATTCTTGAGATGGGATTCTCTTTTCGTGGCTTTCCAAATCATGGGTATTCTACTTTTGAAAGCAACATTGATTTTGAGATCAGGTAAGGAAGTTTTGGTACTGTACAACTGGGAGAAAACAGAAAATTAATTATATTTAAGCACTCTAAGGTTTTCTGCCATAGTAGCAAGTAAACTGTTGTGAAGTGATAAAATAACAAATCACAATTGGTATACAAGCCATATTACATTGAAAACAATTCTTTCAAAGGAAAAGATTATGCTATTGAATGTGAACAGCATTTACATTTTATATTTTGTGTTATAACTTAAAATTTTTCATTTAAATATTTCTTGTTAAGGTTCATGGTAGACACCAAAGTAGTGGGATGCAACTGGATAGAAGTCCCAGCAAGAAAGTACTCTGTGCGCAAGAGTGGTGATGCCATAAAACCCACCTCTCGCTGCCAGCTGGAACTGGACGTATCCTGGGAAAACTTTATTTCACATGCCCCAGAGGGAGAATGGTCCAAAGTGGCACCCTTTAGAATTCTCAGTTATGATATTGAATGTGCTGGCAGGAAAGGTGGGTGCTCCTGTTGACAATGTCACAAGGAGATAAAGGTGCAGTTTGTATTATAGTGGTTTTGAATAGAGGAATGGTTACCAATTTGAGTTGTAAGCAGAGATTTTTGAGCAGGGTGCTGATTAAGTCTTTGCCAACTAGCTAGTTGGTTGGGTGCGGTTCTATTCTGGCAATACTGTGTTATACCTGTTGATTATGTGTATGTGTTCTTTGTTTTAGTTTTAGCTAGGGCTTACCTTTCCATGCCTAATTTTAGTAGAATTAAGTGAATAAAATAAGGAAATGAACAATTTCAAGTCTAAGTTTTTACAAATCTATTTTTAATTATGAAAATCAGGTTTTATCTCTTGAATTATTATCAATAAATTATAACATAAAAGAAGATTGGCTTTCCTGTTCGGTATAGAGCCAAATCAATATGTTATGGATTAATGAATATCTAGAAGATTTTTATTGGAATTGTGTTTTTCTTTTATTAGTCACGGCCTTTTTGCCTCCTATGCAGTATGTTAGCTAAATTAAAGAAAAAAGAAATGGTCCCAATTTATACCTGTGTTACTTTCAGGCATCTTCCCGGAACCTGACAAGGACCCTGTAATTCAGATAGCTAACATGGTCATCAAACAAGGGAGTAAGGACCCCTTCATCAGGAACGTGTTCACTCTCGATACCTGTGGCCATATTGTGGGCTCACAGGTGCTGTCATATCAAACAGAGGAAGAGATGTTGAAGGTACAGTCAGAAAGATTTATTGTAAATGACAACATTGCTGCTTTCTTACCTTCCTCCCTCTTTCTTCCTGAGTATTATTTTCAACCACTCCAACAAATAACATTGCTGTATAGATTGGTGTTATGGACATATTTATTGGTGTACTATTGTCTTGTAAGCATTTTCAGCAGGTAAAAAAAGCTTTAGAGTAAAATTGCATGTCATTTCAACTTAAATGTGTGTATGGGTGAAAATGTGCATGCATGTATGTGTGAGAGAGACAATATGGAAATGAACTATGGAAATGCATTTATACAAAATTAATCTTCTCAATTCTGATAATTTTAGAAATGGTCAGACTTCATCAGAGAAGTGGACCCTGACTTAATAACAGGCTACAATATCCAGAACTTCGATATGCCGTATCTGATGAACCGTGCCAGACATCTCAAGGTGAAAGACTTCCATTACCTGAGCCGTATCAAGGACAAGGAGTCCACTGTGAAGGAGGCAATGTTCCAGTCCAAGCAGATGGGAAAGAGAGAGAATAAAGTAGTGAACACTGAAGGAAGGATACAGTTTGATTTGCTGCAGGTATTGAATGTCTGCATTTGAATTTTAACTACTTATTGCCACTTAGTTTTAAAGATTAAGTGCAAGTAATTCATTGTTTGTAAAAGAACTGGAGGTATTAAAGGAAGCAATGAAAGGTTTTACCAAAATAAAGACTTCATTGATGATCATTCCCTACACTAAACTAACTTCTAACTGAGAAAATTAAATCACGTGGCAGAAATGTATTTGTTTCTAGATTTTGCTGAGGGACTACAAGTTGAGATCTTACACCCTGAATGCAGTCTCTTATCACTTTCTACAAGAACAAAAGGAGGATGTTCAGCATTCAATCATTACAGATTTGCAGGTATGCTTATGTGTTAATTGCTTGAATAATGATACTTTATTTACTTGCACTGAACTATTAGTATGTCACTTCTGAATTCGGAATTTATATTAGTCAGGTCCACTATTACATGATGTACAAGATTGGAATTTAGCTCAGTATGAACACTCTTTTAACACCGGGTGTGTTATTCTTTTCAGAATGGCAATGAGCAGACGAGACGAAGGTTGGCTGTGTACTGCTTGAAGGATGCATATCTTCCACTGCGACTCCTGGAAAAACTGATGTGTGTTATCAATTACATGGAGATGGCCAGGGTCACTGGGGTGCCGCTGACATATCTGCTCACCAGAGGGCAGCAAATTAAAGTCATTTCGCAGTTGTTGAGAAAGGCAGGTCCCATGATGGTTCATATTTATTTGTAGCCTTTTGATTTTAGTGTCATTCACATTAATGTTGATGCTGGAAAATAAAATGGGCTACAAATAAACTCCTGTGACCAATTTAGTTTGGAATAAGACATATGTAATATGAGTATCTCCATTTTCAGCAGGTGAGATTGTTTTTTACCACCAAAAGTAAAAAAAGAGGAAATGATCTCATTTGAACATTTTCATTTGGAAGGACTTTTTTCCAGGCCAAAGATACAGCCTATGTTATTCCTGCCATGAAACCAGAGACGGGAGATGAATATGCAGGAGCAACAGTCATTGAACCTAATAAAGGGTAAGTTATTGGATCTGAGAACATTTTTGTTTGAGTGTTTGGTTGTTTTTAATTTGTTTATTTAAAAAAATTCTGCTCATAAAACTTCAACCAGTCATATGATTCACTTTATTCCACTGAATTAATTATTAAATGAATCGTTTTATATCTCGAGTTTGAATTGATGGACAAATTATAAAGGGTATAACATGTTCACAAAATGATTTTTTAAAAGGGTTCATTTAGTATTTGATAATGCAAATAAAAAAGTCTATTTCTCCATTACTGAGATTCAATTTTAAAAAAATGCTTATGTAGAAATTAAAAGAGGTAGCTTTCATTTTTTGTTTCCAGATACTATGATGTTCCTATAGCTACCCTGGATTTTTCCTCCCTGTACCCCTCCATCATGATGGCCCACAACCTGTGCTACACCACTCTGCTGAGGAATCAACAGGTTATACAGAGAGAGGGGTAAGGATTTGTGGGTAGTCATGAACCAGTCTCTCCATAGTAATATGATATTTTGACACAGTTTTACTACATAGATGTGGTTGCAGACTGGTGAAAGAGAAGTGGGAAAGTCCAGTCCATGTGTGTTATTTATGCATACATGTGTATAACTATGGCAGCTAGGAAAGGGTCTTTACTTGTTGTGCAGTTGTATTAATTGGAAAATATTTAATAGGCACCCCAAAAGAGTGTTCATTGTGCTTATGATTTTGAATTACATATATTAATGATATTGTATTCCCTGTGCAATTATGTCATATCAGTAAGATTTATGTTTATCACCTTTGCAGACTGACTGCAGAGCAGTATATTAAAACACCATCAGGGAATTTCTTTGTAAAGCAGTCAGTAAGAAAGGGTCTGCTTCCAGAGATTCTTGATGACCTGCTGAGTGCAAGAAAAAGGTAGGATGATTCAAGTTAGGGGTACTGTTGTAGTTGATAATAGCACAGTTAGTTTGATCACTGCTGTAGTGTTGAAAAATAATTATCTGTTAAATATTAATCTGTTAGTAGCTGTGTTTTAGCTTCATATAACTGACTAATAAACAAAGCAGACAGGTGCAGATTCAACTGTGGCAAACATTTTTTTATTGGTTGGTATCAGATGGACATGGTCCTCTAGTAGAGTTGATAGTTATCAATGAAGATTAAAATTTTGTACAGAAATGTAGAAAAATATATTCTTACTCTAGAGCCAAGAATGACTTGAAAAAAGAAACAGACCCTTTTAAGAAAAAAGTGCTTGATGGGCGACAGCTTGCTTTAAAGATCAGTGCCAACTCTGTGTATGGCTTCACTGGGGCACAAGTTGGGAAGCTGCCCTGCTTGGAAATATCTCAGGTAAGAGGTGGTTTAATGAGAAAAAAAATTATTATCTATTGCCATAACAAAACTGACAGGTTAAATGAAAAAGGAGCATATACATACAATATTTTTTTTCCAGGAAGAGAATGTAGAGTTTATTTTTATTTATTTATTTATTTATTGTGTATGGTGAAATATGACAGTTGTCAGCGAAAATTTGCGTGATGTTAGGAGAATGTGTAAATGGAGTAGAGAGTCTTGCATTCCAACTGATGCATTAATTTTACTCCCCAGAGTGTGACTGGTTTTGGACGGATGATGATTGAACAAACAAAGAACTATGTGGAGGAGCACTATACTGTTGAAAATGGCTACCCTGCAAATGCTAAGGTGAGAACTTTTTTTTATTTTTTGAACGTGAATACATGATATTTATAATGTTTTTATGATTACATTGTTTACTTACATATTTGAAAACCAACTAAAAACTCAGGGAAGATGTGGAATTTCATTTTGAATGACATACCGACTGGCAGGGGTTTTGTAAGAATTCTAGTTTTTTGTCTTGGACATTGAAATGATTTTCGTGCAAAGATCTAGACTTCTAGACAAATTCTTAATATTATAAATCTATTGATTAATTAATTATAGTGACTTGCAATAAACCTCCTGTATTTCAGCATTAAATTGACAGATTGCAATCAGCTTTGAATGAGCTGCAGGTTTAGAGAAAAACAATGTGAAAAGAGATCTTTAATTTACTGTCCTTTGTTTCTCCTTTCAGGTTATTTATGGAGATACAGATTCTGTGATGTGCAAGTTTGGAGTCAAGACTGTTGCAGAAGCAATGAAGCTTGGGCAAGAGGCAGCTGATTTAATATCTGAAAAGTTTATCAAACCTATTAAACTGGAATTTGAAAAGGTAACGTTTTGCTTGAAGTTTTTCTTAAAATATGTTTGTGTTTCTTACATTTTGATTTTGATCACTTCTCAAAATCAATATAAGACTTTCGTACTGTTACATGTCAGATATGTTTGCAAGAATTTTTGTTGAACCAACAATGCAATGTACATTTTTATATTTCATTAATTAATTTTTTTTGTTTATTTTGTGTTCTGTTTTTAGGTTTATTTCCCTTATCTTCTTATCAACAAGAAGAGGTATGCAGGGCTTTACTTTACCCGACCTGAAATTCACGACAAGATGGATTGTAAGGGAATTGAAACAGTAAGGAGGGACAACTGTCAACTGGCATCACACCTTATCAGCACCTGTCTTCAGATGTTATTAATTGAGAGGTATCGAGCTTCCTTTATGGGTTCAAAATAATGGTAGATATTTGATGTAATTAATCAGATACTTTTATTGAAGAAACCTTTGTCACATGAATAGCTTTTATGAATAAGATAAAAGCCAACTTTGCATTATTTGGCATTATATGTTTTTTTGGCATTAATTCACCTCTTGTTTACTTCTTGAAAATACATTCAACTTTATGCATTGGTTTTAATGTGAAATTCAATTCTATTCATGAAAATAAAATAGAGCTATTTGAATGTTAAAAAAGAGTTAATGTTCTACAGTATGATTATTGTTATGTTCAAGGAATCCCAATGGTGCTGTAGAACATGCCAAACAGGTGATATCTGATCTCCTGTGTAACAGAATTGACATCTCCCAACTGGTTATCACAAAGGAACTTGCCAAGACAGACAGTGAATATTCTGCCAAGCAGGCACATGTGGAATTAGCTAATAGGTAGGCGTGTGTGTGTGTGTGTGTGTGTGTAATGTAGATGTACAGTTGTATTTTGCTGCAATTATATCATTGTTCATTATATCATTGTTTGTATATATTTTGTCTTTTTTTTTCAAAGAATGAAAAAAAGAGATGCAGGCAGTGCTCCTAACCTGGGGGACAGAGTTCCATATGTTATAATTGCTGCTGCCAAGGGAACTCCAGCATATATGAAATCTGAGGTACTTTTCTTTTATTCATGGTATCTTTTCAATTTTTTAACATATGTACAGGTTATCTAGACATGTGATACCAAAAAGAAGTATAGCAATAAATGTATGTGAACAAACATGGGTCAAACATTATTATTATTATATGGGCAATTGGATCATATCTGATAAATAATGATTATTATTTAATAATTTAATTTTATACACAGCTGAATTTTTTTAAAATTTATATTATTTATTTTTGAAACAACATTTTAAGAAAAAAAGAGTGGCCAGTTATTTGAAAGAGTTTTGGTTTATTTCAGGATCCAATCTATGTGCTAGAGAACAACATACCAATTGATACACAATATTATCTGGACAATCAGTTGTCTAAACCACTGCTCAGGATATTTGAGCCTATCCTTGGCGAAAAGAAGGCAGAATCTGTTCTCCTAAGTAAGTTTCTTCCCTATCATACATTTGCTTTACCTTAAAAAATATTTGTAGTACCCATTTTAAGTTTTAACCAGGAAAGCACTCAAATAGGCAAAGGATTTATTATGTCATATTAATCTAAGAACAGTCTTCATACAATTCCTAAATTATATTTGATATTTAGGGGGAGATCACACAAGAACAAAGACTATGATAATGTCCAAAGTTGGAGGATTGTCTGCATTTACCAAGAAGAGAAGCACATGCATAGGATGCAAAGCTGTTTTGGAAAAAGAAGGTAAAGTGTACTAAAATGACTTTTTTCCATACAATGTTAGAGAAGACTGTACATGGTAGAATCATATTTATTTAACTATAAATGTAGTGTTCAAAAACAATTTGTGAATCAAAGATGAGAGACTTTTTCTGGAAATATATATTATTTTTAAATTTTTCATGTGGAATCTGTGCTAAAACTCTGCTGTTATTGGTTGTGGAAATTATACTTTTTGAAATGTTTTTTCAGGAATTGCAGTTTGTAAACATTGCAAAAGTAGGGAATCTGAAATTTACCAGAAGGAAATTTCAATGGCCAATGCTCTTGAGGAGAAATTTGCACGTCTCTGGACACAATGCCAAAGATGTCAAGGCAGTCTGCATGAGGATGTCCTGTGTACAAGGTAAATTATACGAGGGCCAGTCAATAAATAACCAGCCTAACCTATTTCGGGTTGAGATCTACTTCTTCTTTTTCAATATAATTTTCCTCCAGGGCAATGCACCTGGACCAACGGTATTAATATATATATATATATATATATATATATATATATATATAGTTTACAATATTCTTCTTCATCATTTCTCATATTTAATATGTTAAATAAATGGTTTCATTTGCTTAGGCAAATGTATAATTATTTCTGCCCTAAGAAAATGAAAACTATAATATTCTCATCCAGATTTATTATGGTAAAAATACATTTTAACTTAGCATGTTATTTGACCAAAGTGATCACAAATAGTATTTTATTTACTATTATTATTATTATTGTCATATATATATGATTTCCTCACTTTTTCTTTATATTTCCAGTTGTGACTGTCCCATATTTTACATGAGGAAAAAAGTTCAAAAAGATTTGGCAACCCAGGACAAGTTGCTTCAGAGATTTGGCCCCCCAACCTGGTGAGGGCAGACACAATGGAAACAGTTGGCATCACTAGAGAAATACCAAGTAGACTGTTAAACAGCTTGTGTACTTTGTAATTGCAGCTTTTCTGAAAAGTGAAAGGACATTAAACTTGCTGTTCTGTACAGATAGGTGTGAACAGAAAGGTGTGAACAAAATCACTAAAATTCATTTCATTTGAGAAGTAATTGAAAGTACATTAACCATGTAGCTATTCACCAACAATGACCGAAAATTAAAAAAATTACATCAGGTGTTTATATTTGCACTCTGATATTGCACTGCCTGGCTATTAAGGATATCAAACTGTATTTTTAGAACTGTGATGTTGCCAGATACATTTGTCACAGGGTATGATCAATATTTTACATCTTCTTTATATTGGCAATATTAAATAATCCAGCTGTTTTTGTAGACTTGATGAAACGTGTATGTTGGTATATAAGATCAATGCATTTTTGCAAAATCCGTTGGTATACTGGCTACTTACCATAAATAAATAAAAATATTTTTCATGCAATTCCCATCTTAGTTTCAAAAGTAAAGTCTAAATGAAAAGACTTTTACACATAAAAAGGTGTTATCAATTTAAAACGCCTTCAATAATTTCTGTCCATATCAATGTATTTTCGGTATTTTTTTTTCAGTGAAAAAGTTTACTGGATATATATATTTGCTGTAAAGAACACCCGTTTTTACTTTGCTAGCACTGTCCTGAAATGGTACTTAGCAGAATACCAGGGTACTGTTTCAGGGTTGCGACAGCGGAAATTTTCAGAAAGTTACGCAATCACAGCGCAATAATGTGCGCTTTGATATGGGTTGAAAGCAGTCTAAATTTTAGCTGCCGCGTGGTGAGTGTTGCCTTGGTAGTATGTTAAAAGTCTATAGCAGAGCTTCACGGAAAACGCAGATAAGGACACCGTTGATGTAGATGAAAAAGGTTGATAGAATTGATGAAAGAAGTTCAATTGCAAAGGAGGAAATGGGCGTTTTTTTTTTTTCAATTAAAAGACCTACAAGCTGTATTCGGAAACCAGACCGGCAAGAGAGACATCGTGGCGTAGGAACGTAATTCGCTATGAAAGAAGTGGAAAAGGGTCGTGTAACTCTTCGGATTTGAGGATTTCCGAGTGCATTTTCACCTAGAAAAAACATTGCATAGAATAAAAATGAAGGTACGTGGGGGGGAGGGGGGGGGGCAGGTACGAAATCTTAAAAGATTAGTCTTTATTCAACTGTAGATTAAGTCGCTTACTTGAATCTGTTAATTTCCCCCGATTTTGTTATATAGTGCAGTGAAAAAGAATTGCAAGTAAGTTCACACTCGCTTCATAAAATGACTTCTGGAAAGACATGTTTAAGGGTAACAAAGATGACGTAATTTTATTGCTAACAGAGGGATGATCAGCTCACACGTGCTGTAGGACTTGACAGCGAATAGCTTTTGGCGCCCAGAAGTCGGCCTGTCATCTGGAGAGAACACTAGTGGTAAAGGCCCTTTTACACTGGATGGCGTCCCTTCTGCGTCCAGCAGTTCGGCCCCATTTGAGAGTTAAAGAATTATAATACTTTACGTGCCGACAACTGACCGATCATTGAGCATTCATTCTGATACCAAATCAATGCTCGTGCCTCCTTATTAAGACCACAGCGATGCCAAATTTCATGGTCGCAGAAAGGACGCAGAAAGGACGCCGTCCAGTGTAAAGGGGGTATAAGGAATTGCTGTGCTGTCTAAGAATACTAAAATATAGGTATTTCCATGCTGGAATTACATATAGGAAAAAAGCAAAACATAAGAAAATATCATACTCAGTTAAATCCCAGGGTTCATTAACGTATCTCTATCTGTTAGAAAATGTTCAATGGCGTTTTTTTTTTTTAATAAAATAACGATCAATAGTAAAAATGCCAATGTGAAGTTTTACTGCGTACTAGGTACTTGTAGATAGACTCAGACAGGAACCTACCTCCTGAGTCAACTAAGATGAAAATCTTAGAAAAGTAAAAGGATGGACTGCGCGCCCTGGAAGTCGACAAAGGCGGAGGGTATAAAATTGTTTCAAGTGGTGATGGCTGGACAAAACGATAGAATAAATATTTCGGGAATGGAGGTGACGCACTGACGGTCACAGTGGGCCAACACATGCAATTCAAGGTACAGTGGCTTTCATTATATATGTCTAGTCGGTATAAATTATTTAAAGGTTAAACCTCATATTTTGCTTAAATGTACATTCGATCGCTTAATTGGATCTTTTATAAGAAATTTGCCTTCCTGATTTTGTTATAGATCTGCACGAAAACGGATAGGCCTATTACATTGTTACAAGCAAGTTCAGACTCGCCGCCCAAGTACAGTAACCCCGCCTTTCAATTCCATATAAGTCACTGTGTATCCATAAAAGGAGATGAAAGTGACGTCATGTTTATTGCCGACAAGCTGGATAAAAGGCTCACGCGAGCTGTCAAAATATGACAGCGCATAGCGTTTGGCGCCTACAAGTCGAGTCTTCGTTATGTTAAGTCCGAGACGCACGTGGGCAAGTTCATTCGTGGTAGCGGCAGTAGGAGGACGAGGTCGCTGGTGAAGAGCTCTAAGCTTGGAGTTATCTATTAGCGCACAGGGTAAAGTTTTCTCCACGAGCGACGAAATATCAAACGCGACAGGTCAGCGGTGTAAGACGTGTAGCAACCAATGTACTTGTCCGACAACAGCAAGCTCTTGTGTGTGGTGGGCGAGGAGTGCACTTGGATCAAGGGATTGGAGGCTTTATTTCAGCGCACACGGGGAAAGCTTTCTCCACGTGCGGTGAAGATATCAAACGGACAGGTCAGTCGCAGGTATAGCCTACATGTAGCAGCAAATGACTTATGCGACAACAGCAAGCTCTCGTGTCCGGTGGGTGAGGAGCGCATTGGGATTAAAAGAATTGGAGACTTCTGCGAGGATTTGTCGTGGAATTTTACAGTGGAAGTATTACATCGCGATGAGTTTCACTAAACAGCAGGAAAAACCAAAACATTAGACCTTGCGGTACTTGTCCCATTCAGTTATCAGTATTCAGTAATGTATCCCCACCTATGGCTGGACAAGACGATAAAATAACAGCTTTTCGGGATTTTAGGTGACAGTCACATGAGCCAACACGTGTAAGGTACAGCGACTTAAATTTTATTTTTATGTACAGACACACGGTGTCTGTGCATATATTCATCACCTGCGTTGCCGTGCACTGTTAACGCATTCTCTTTCAATCATTTTCAATATGTAGGTCCTTTTGAAGAAAACGGAGAGAAATGAAGGTAAACATTTTCTGCGAATTCTGCTTTTTTTCTAAATCTGGTGACGGAAAGTGTTAACTCTTGTTGTCTTGTGTAAATCATTGAAATGATTTTAATTCATGCCTTGCTGGAAAGGGAAATTTTCGTACTCAGTAAGGAATGTTTTGGCTTATTTTACTAACGAAAGTTTTAAAAATAACTCTTTGGGATAATATTTACATGATATCAATACTAAAATAAGTACACTGCGCTTTAGGGTATTAAGAAGTTCGCGTTCATTACAATGAGACAGTGCACATGGTAACAAGGTAGTGCAAATTGATCTTTATGAGAATGCAGTTTTGCCGCGATTCGCGTAAAACATTTGACTGTGTCCTGTTACCAAATTGTCTTGCTAATAGTGCATGTAATTAAAGTAAGGATGTTATTAAGAGCTTAAATATTAAAGAAAAAAAATTGAAGTAACTGAAACTAATGACTGCACCAAAAGGCGTGACGAGTTTTTTTTTTTTTTTAATACCAGGCGAACGTAGTCGCATGCTATTTATTGAGTTATGTAAAAAAAAACCTTTTAGGCATTTTCTGAGACGAAGGATGCCATACTCGCTCTTGACAAGATGCAGATTTTCTACTTAAGATGAAAATCATCCGATTGGAGAAAAACAATTGAAAAAAATGTTAAAAGGACCTATTTATTGAGCATGGGTGCATTTTTATTTTATTTATTAATTTTTGTTATTACTATTATTTGTTTTTTGAAAATCTCGTTTGGTATATGGCACTGAAATGTATGTGCATGTCATGTCCCTGTAGCAGCTTTTTACCTACATTTTACTTAATTTTTATATTATTTATATATTTTTATTTTATGTATTTATTTAATTATTTATTTATTATTATTTTTTTTATTTTTGATGTTGTTGTTGAAGTTATGCATTTTAGGGGGCAGGGTTAATTTCCACCAAATGGTATTCTCTTATGGTTATTAAGATTGGTGGTGATAGTGCTATTAAACATTGTAATGAGTGTGTAATATTGATTTTTTTTCCACTGGTGTAGGAAACGCTGCAAAAAGGAAATTTTGTTACTTATTACTTCAAGAAATTTTTAGGATAATGTAATACACTTCGAATAGGAAATACGATATAATTGGATTTTCTTGGAAGTTGTGCCATTTTTGTGTGCGAATTTTTGTTTAGGGTGGTGTTTTTCTATTCTTGTTACTTTTTCTGTATGAGCATGTTACCCATATTACATAATTAAAAAATTGTTGGTAATGTTGTTGTTATCTAATTTACATTATTACACTGCATGAATGTATTCATGTTACCTGCAGTACGTAATTAAGTAAGGCAATTACTATACTGTTTAGAACATTTTAAATTGACAACTGTTGTGCACTGGTATCAGTGTTCTGTTTACTGTTTTACATCTTTACTTCCTTGTTACATAGAGTAGTGGATTTTACGATTGTCTATAGCGGAAATTATTTTCTGTAATTTGGTATTATGTATGTTTTTCTGGAGTAATCGTGAATTTGTTTAAATGAATGTGAAAAATTTGGATCAAGTTAGGCATGTTTCAATAGACATTTTCTTGTTACATTGTCGCATTACGACTAGTGAGTAAGCAACTGAACTATTGAGGATAGAATTGTCAGTACGTAATAAAATTTTGTTTGATAAATAGCTAGGTATGATAAATGCGTAAATTTTATTTTGACATGTTTAGATAATATCATATGTTTTTAATATAGATGATAGATCTGATACAGTTAAGTTTATGTGAAAAAAAAAAACGTTGGTCTACATTGATCACAGGGTGTGATTGTACTGGGTTAGGAAATTATTGTATCGCATACGTAAAGTTTTGGGCTTGGACAAAATATACGTATAATTCGTGTCCGAGAGTAAAATTTATCTGAACATCTTGATATCAGCGGATAAGGGTCAGTGTATTATCTCCAAATAGATATAGTACACCCTGCAATTAGCTTCGTACACGGCACATAGGTACATGTGATTGATGTGGCCAAAGAGCTTACCATAGACAACCAACATATGTAACACCCAAGATGTTACTGAAACTATCCATGGAGGAGACAAAAATTCTTCTATTAGGCATTTGAGCTGTAGGAGTAAATCAAACAAGTGAAAAGATGGTCCACGAAGGAGATATTTGAAGTGGTTCCTATTGATGAGACATTACCTGCACCGTCTATTCGGACAATTGTAAATAGCAATGTGTTTCTAAAAAAGAAGTTTAGCTTTGTGTCTGGTCCCGAGGCTTACCTCTTACCCTGGGTATTCAAATTTCTGATATATATTCGTACGTATAAGTATGAATTTGTTGAATAAAGTTTTTATGTGGTGTGGGTGGCTTTCTTACCCCCAACCATATTTTCTGTGTGCAGCATAAATTAATCAGACACAGGATTTATTCCATCATTTGTATAGTGTACTATTCAGTGCAGAGGTTTTCAAAGTCAGCTACGTGAATGTTAAGGAAGATTGGGGGTAGTGAGATTAGTTAAAACACTTTCGACCTTAAGAAGTCGACTGAGAATGATGTAGGTGTAACAGGAAATGAAGTATGCTAGGAACTGTTGACTGCTTCCACTTTGTACAGGTAACAGTTGTCCTATATATAATACACCAATTCTCCCAACTAACCCTAATCTGTACTAGTCACATGGGAGTTTAAATTATCATTCGTAAAACTTCCATTCCTGTCACACCGGGTTTAAAAATGACTCCAAGACATACCGACAGATGCAATATCATTGTTTTGCAAGTGTAATGATGTATGGTACATAATTGCCGGGGAAAAAATACGCCTGATGTCAGGTGGAAGAATTTGCCGCGGGGCGGGGTAAAGTAGCACCATATATATATATATATATATATATATATATATATATATAACAATTTTGTAGAAGGCGGGACGGACATTCAAGCCGGATTATCTGACAGCAATCTAGTGACACTTCCCGCGGGGATAGATCAATTTAAAATCTCTGGGAATTCAGCCTAAGGGATTTGTCGTTAAATTGCCCTTTAGCTTAAACTGCTCTAACGCCTGGCATGCAAACTGTAGCTGCTAGGAGGTAAGTAATTATTGTTTAGTCTTAAAGCTGCAGTAGACGTGTCGGAAATGTAAGCTGCTTAATCCGAAGGCAAATTAATGAATCTTCGATGGGTCGGTTCAGCTGGATTGATTTGGGCGTGAGAATGGTGTCTAAAGTTAGCGGGGCCACTTAGCTTGGAACAAGTAGGTAACCCTCATTTTTCTTCTTTTCTTAATGTGGATTGTTGTAAGGTTCTGTAAACAATTATGTCCATATCATATGGTAAACAACGTTATCATCCAACGGTATCTGCCTCACATAGACCACAAAATTAGCACAGATTTTTAAAAAAATATATTTTCAAATAAAAAATTTAAAAAATATATTTGATGGGTTTTTCATGTACTGAAACCTGTTCAAGCGTAGGGTGCCAACTTGTCCTAGGGTCATTTTGCCGCGCCACGTGTGACGCTTGGTTGACTCAACTGACATAAGTATCGGCCTACTGTTGTGAAAATGAACCATACTACATTACACTTGCAATATAATCATGAACAATGACTTAAGTTGTATTCCCAGAGCTTTTAGATCGATCTAACCCCGCGGGGAGTCTCACTAGTTAAGGCCTACTGTCAGAGAATCCGGCTTAAATGTCCGTCCCGCCTACTACAAGCTGTAAGGGGGGGTAATTAACTTTTGTGATCGCCCGGCTGACAGTTATTTAGCGTTATTTAGTTACTTAGGGAGTTAGGTCGATCTAAAGTAGATCGATCTTATCTCTGGAAATGGGGTCTTATGCTTACGTACGTAGCCTATTGTAGGGCCTACGTTGTAGGGGTCTATTTGTAATCGTGTTACACTATTTAAAAGTCAGGCGCTCGCCTTAAACCTACTTTAATTCTCAGTTGGCTCTATTAATAAGGACAGTGTCTTAACTGGATTCACTAGATAGTGCCCCTTACCGTTCCTGCAGGTGACTCTGCATGAGAACTTAGCTCTCGCTATTAGGGGTATGAAGTCGGCCCACTGTACCACAGTGTAAAAAATATTTTGGTGAATTAATTAAGGAAGGTGTGTCACTATCTTTTGATAATACTCTGTAAATCTGGCAAGGCGGCCCACCTTTTTCAGTGTTTTCTCTTTTAGGTTCCGAACTGGCTAAACTAGGTGAACTGGATGATTTTCCTGTTATTCATGAAATGCTTCGATGTAGTCGCATGGAAAAGTTGGATCAACGGACTAGCATTGTAGCGCTTAAATAACCAGCTCAAAGTTGTAGTGTAACAAACACGGATTGAGGGAATGTCCTTATGGCGTAAGACCTACAGAAAAAAGTCCCGTTTTCTGTGATTGCGAATCGACCTGCAAAACTTATTGTGTGTGATGAATGTGAATTTACACATGCGAGATTCGTAGCGTTTGATTGGCTGCTTCAGTCTCCCTCTAACAGTGATTGGTGGAAAAGATTGCGCATTAATCCGGCGTTAACAGCACAGGCAACGGAATGTCTCGTAGCTATTGTCTTTTAAGTGTTTATATTCACACTTTCTATCTGCTGTTGTGTTATTTTAGCAACATTTAATTATGAAGAGGCAAATTGTAAGGCCAAAATCATGGACTCTCGAAGCTAAGCACCCTCTAACACGGCTCCGTGGCGCAATGGATAGCGCGTCGGACTTCTAGAGTATAGAAAAGTAATTCGGAGGCTGTGGGTTCGAGTCCCACCGGAGTCGGTTACATTTTCGTTTTTGTAGATATGGTTTCCTGTAAGTGGCAACCTGTCTATCAATCTAACGTAAAATTGAAATCAGCCCAGCAGGTATGGCTAGAACGGTGGTGAGTGCATCTTCTCTTTCTAAGTTTTCACCCATCTGGAGGGATTAAAACATCTCGTTCAGGGAAAATATAAAATGTGGATCATTCATATTCTCTCTCATTTTCATATTGGACATAAACTCCGACAGTGGAACTCAAGGCGAAGATTTGAGCAATGGGAATGTAATGTTACTGACATAATAGGCATCTCACCAGGTTCTGAATCAAATTTGAACAGGTCCATCAGATGTGAATTGGACCAAAATGACGATCTTACATAACAAGTAGAGGAAAGTGCACTCGCTCAGACTGCCCTGGCATGCAACAAGATCAAATGGTCTTGGAAAGACTTCATAATGCAAAGCTGAAGGTGTGAGGCTGAGGCAGACAGAAGTAAGAACAACATCAAAGAGAGGACAGACATTTTTTCCAAATCGAGGCATTGGCAAACTACCAAAAAGAATGGATATCACTAATGTTTGCTGTGCAGAGGGTTAATGCAGTACGTGCCTCCATGATCCCATACCACAGAAATGAGAGAGAGAGATATCCTGTGTGCCGATATGTAATACATTTATTAGTACACAAGCATTGGAGCTTGATGATGTGTCACTATAAATAAAGTTAATTTTGATTAGCTAACATGACTATTGTATCAAGAAAAGTTCCCTATGTAGGTTCAATGTAATTGTTGTTGCATATGTTTCAGTTAAGGATATTTTTTTTCAAGTATAACATAAAATGTTAATCAGAGGAGATCTGAGATTTTATCCAATTCAATTTTTCATTTATGACAATCAGTTAATACCAACAAATGCCTGGCTTATATCATCATCATCATCATCATCATATTTCTGTTCTGTTTACTCTTGGGGCTTATACACCAGGTGTTCAGATTCTGTTTGTTGTGTTGCAAGTTCATAAGTAGCAAACTTTACTTGCAGGCCCATTTTGTTACACATTTCATACCCAAAACTGTGACAAATTATGCATTATTCTTTCCATTGCCTCCCCTTTCCAAACTACTAGTTCAAACACTCACCATCAAAGACAGATGCATTTGCTTTATTTGTTCATTTTTACTTTATTCACTTACTTTATAATACAGTTGCTAAGTGAATATAACTGTTTTTGACATTAAGTACAATCTCTTTTTGGTAAACTGTATGCTGCGCACAGACATGCAAAAAAAATTAATCAATGGCACTGACTAGTGAAGATATTTAATGAGATATGTATGAATTTCCACAACATTGTGTGAAATGTAAGCTTAGTGTTCAACCTTTTTACATTGAAATATATCCACTTCGTAAGGCATATTTTATATATATGGAAGTTTTTCTTTAGTTGGCTAGGATGTTTAAGTGCCCTCTTCTGTTATCAACGTGATTTTACATTTTCAAAATGTTACACCTCTCAAGCCACAAGTAAGCAACTTTTCACTCTGATGCATGCATTTTCATGCCCATGTTATTGAAAGTATGCTTTTGGTTTTGCTGTCATTCTGTTGCTTACTCTGACTGGTAGTAGTACATATTGTTTGGCTTTTTGTTAGCTTCACATAGTTTTACATTCATATAGCTTCATACAGTCTTCCATTCAGCTGTGTGGAAGAATAAGGCAATGGTTTGAAAGAGGAGGTTGCCACTTATAATCCTCAAAGTTCATCAGAAATCTCTTGTAAGTTAGTTCATCTGCTTTTTCACCTGTCTTGCTTTTTCTTTCCAAGTACATGCCTGTAGAACAAACAAAATTAGAAGACCAATGTATCTAGATGAATATTGTATTAAATGGATTAGGCAGTGTTTGATAAAACCCACAATTAAAAAGTAAATAAATCTGGTGACCTTTAAGCAAGTAAGCTGTTAACATTTTTCATTACCGTGGCAGTAGTAATTCATTTTAAAAGGCTTCTATGGAAAAAGTAACTAATGTAACATGGGAAAGGGGCAGCATGTGTTCATTCTGTTAATTAACAGAGATTGAAACTTACCTAAAGTTTCTCTTGGAGGGAGGGATATGCTTCTACTCCAGTTTGGATGTTCTATGGTTAATAATTGTCGAATACTTCCTGATATAAACTGAAAAGAAGAAATTTTTTATATAATTAGATATTATTAGGCAAAATGATGGTGGATAATATCCCAAAAACAAATTTTGACAATTGCAAATACTTCCTGATATGAACAGGAAAGAAGTAATCATATAAGTGGAGATTCATAGGCAAAATGGTAATGGGAAAAACTCCAAAATTAACATTTCCTGAACACCAGAAGTTTTACATGTCCACTTAACTAAGACCCCATTCCCAGAGATTAGATTGATCCAAACTAGATCGACCTAACTCCCTGGGGGTTCACGCTAAATAGCTGTCAGCCGAGCGGGCATGAAAGTTAATTACCCACTTACAGCTTGTAGTAGGCGGGATGGACATTTAAGCCGGATTATCTGACAGTAATCTAGTGAGACTCCCCACGGGGATAGATCGATCTAAAATCTATGGGAATATGCCCTAAAATCACTGGATATAGCCAAATTTTCTAAGTCAGATTTGGTTTACTGTAGGGCTGACATAAATTTCTTTTCCATCACTACATAACAGAGAATTCCTGTATTTCAAGATATTGTTGTAACTAAACAGATTTACTAAGAAAGGTTTACATTGCATTAATTGAGGTATGTACTTTTCAATGTTCATCCCCCCCTGCATCTTTCAAAATACTTCATATACCAGTTGTAAAAAAGGTGAGAGGAAGAGACAGGTAAATAGTTTTTTTTTCACTCCATCAGTAAAAAATTTACAATAACAATATATAGTGCCCAAAGTCATATGTGATACTGGTAGCTTGAAAATACTGCATCATAATACTAAGTGTGCAGGAGTATACCTGTGTTTTCTCGGTCCGTGTACTTACTTTAATGTGTTCAAAATCTGTAATTCCAATCTTTGGCAATGCTGATGCAGATATCAGTATGAGTTTCTTACCGTCAATTAAATTTGACACAAAACAATCCTGTAATAAAACGAAGTTTGATTATTAAGTAAAATAAAATAAAATAGAATAAAAAAATTAATAAAAAGCGGATGTGAACTAATTTTTGGGGTGTGTGTGTGAAAGAGAGGGGAGGGAGAGATAGATCCTGTCAGGAACACTTTAATCGTTTTACAAAACCTTATTTAATTTAATCACTAACCCACCGGGTACTGTTCTCTTGCTTACAGCCTGCAGAAAGCTTCAAAATCGACCTCTCTGTACTTACTTTATACTGTGGAAATCCTAATTCCTCTATCCACTTTCCAACTTGTTCACATGTCCACTGCTGACAACTAGGGATTCTTTCGTCCCTGAGATCTTCGTGGACAGAACGGGACGAACCTCTGCTCGACATATTTGCTTCGTTTCTAGGGGAGAATGACGTCATGAACAGGTGCTTGTATACGCTAGATGGCGCCAAAGGTCGACGAGATGTTCAAGTCTGACAAAACTCAACGTGAATCTAAACAGCTCTATAAGTGCATAATTTCTGTAACATTGCTCTAAACTTTCTGAACAAACGAAGAAACAATCCTACAAATTACGTGATTCGTCACTAATATCACGAGAATAATCAAATAAATAGCTGCAAAGAAGTTGATAAGTGTTGATGAGTAGGCCTACTGTTAAAAATAAGAGTATTGAGCATCATTCCTACTTGGAATTTCACACAAAGATTGAAGGTAGCTGTATGTATGTTATCCTAGATAAAAATATAGATATCAGTCAAGTAGTAGTTTGTTGCCGACACGACAGAACTTTCACATAATATTAAATTTAAAGGTTTTAACTTGGACGATGATTTTATGATTGTCAAGGTTGTGTTAGGTGAGAAATTACACTGCTAAGATAAGAGGTGTGCAACATATGAGGCGATGTCGCACATGCTCTGCGATGGTCATTTATTTCTTACTAACAAGTAACAGCCCAGATGGTCATGACCGTCTCTGGACAGCCAGTTGACAGCTGATAATGGATATTCTTTTAGTTTTTCACCAGTTCAGTTTAGTAGGCCTACAGCTCAATACCCAGTAGGCTTCTGTACACTGTGTGAATAAACCGCATTTCATATCCAACGATGACTCTTCGTCTTTCTTACTTGTGGTCTGCTACAAGTTGATCTCTGCCAAACGTAACGGATGATGTGACGTTTTTCATAGATCAACTGCTATCTGACTGATCACGTTTATTTCTCTGGCTGAGTGATTTGGAGTTTACTACAAAATGTAGCACGGACATTCCAACACTCGTCGTGATTGACCAAACTTTCTCTGATGACAATAAAATTTTCTTTAGATACTATACACGAGATGAAGCAGAAAATATATGTTGTAAAGAAAGAGAGGTAAAAGCCAATTAAGACACGTACATTTACTACAGACTTTTATCAATTAAACCGAGACAGATTTTCGAAAGGTAATTAAGGTATGAATTCTTTAACACGGTTACTCAATCCTGTAACAACTGAAAATATTCTATTAAACTGGATAATAGTTAGTCAAGAAAAAAGACATTCATGGACTCGGAATGTATTATTATAACTCGGACTTAAAATAATTTACCAAACTTACACAAATAACTTGATTTATAATACAAATGGAAGTTTCTGAAATTTAATTTGGCCATGAATTCACCAATAATGACGATGGGTGTTAGTTCTGTTGTTAATTTTAAAAGGGTGAAATATTCAAGAGATTGCAATTTAAATGTTGCAAGGAATAGTAAACAATCTGAAGACTGAATTGATATTTATTTTGTAGCCTTTGCATGATTCACGCGTCCCGCAGTAAGGTCTTACCCATATAATTCAATTGCATGAACATTCGCCTAGAAAAAAATTGATCGTAAAGGAAATTTCTGGGTGTCGTGAAAGTTTTCAAAGACGTCACGTTTTCTCGAAAAATTGATACGAAATTAATATGGCAGGAGTACAAAGTAAGATATTTGAAAGCACTTGAAGCAGAAAAGATAACACTGCATTTCAGAAAAAAAATTTTGTGGCGCATGCCCATTAAGTCTTGATAAGAAAAGCAAACTTCTTTCCATCATATGGTCATACATGTATTCTGAGGGCGTTAATTTATTTTAAAACTATTTAAAATCGTGTAACATTATGTGTACACTCGCACGACAAACAATAACGACACGATTTGTTTCTTTTCTGCTAAAAATAGTGTCTTGCCTGTCGCTTTATCAGTTTTTATCATTATGAAAGAATTAGTATGGCAATATAAATGACAAAGAACCTAAGCAATCTACGTGATAGATATGCGATCGATACCGCGAAATCAAATCCCAGATTCAATTAAAATATTTTCATTGATGTGTTTGTTGTTATCATGCCAACGGACTAAAAATAATCTTTTCGTTGACATCGCACGGCAAGAAAAACTGCATTGCTGCTATCTTTTGTAACGGGCTACATCTTTGCAAACGGTGATATCTCTGTCTTGGGTGTACTTAAAATGGCGCCTAATTTTACATCATTTATTCACTGTACAATGGGAGACAAAACTGGGTGTGTCCTTTTTACTGTGATTCGATATATATATATATATATATATATATATATATATATATATATATTCTACCAACAACCACAGAAGATGTCTCGGCCTGAAAATAATTGTCTCCTAAAGCTTCATGACCCATGGTAGAAGTCAATCTAAACACAATCAGCTCAATATTTTCGTTATTCCGATCCTCCCTAGGGGAAATGTGATAGAGTGAAGAATAATTGGAGTATATTTCAGTCGAATCAAATGTGTGAAATTATTTCCTTTTTGAAATAATATGTATTATCATGAAATGAGCCCCGAGCAAAGAATGACCTTTGCATAATGTTTAAATCTGAAATGTGACAAGCATGGTTCCAGACTTATTTGTCTGCTTTTTGCTTAGCGCATTTCAGAATTTTGTTATAATAGTTTCCTGCCGAAGGGCTGGGTGTCTCTGTTTACTGTGTTTACATGGCGCTGACGTAAGAGAAGGGAGCGTCGTGCAGAAATCCCGCTATAATGTACCAGGCAAGTGACGTAACGACTACAGATCCCTTTTCTCCCTGTTAGAACCACAAGTGATGGTTATCTGACGCATTAGCATCGTTTACTTCGGTAAATTTGTACTGGTGCTTTTGTCTGACTGTCCAGTCACGCCTCCGCGTGTAGAAATTGGGAGTAAATTGATTCCATAACAGACATCTGTAAATTGGACAGCTTCTTCTGGTAACAAGGGGGACTGGCACCACGCGCACATGTTCACACGAGTGAAAATAAAACAAGTTCTGAAGGCATCCATTTGACGGCAGTAGTTAACTAAAGTGAACTAGGTCCCCCAGTCAAGCAATGGGACACAAAAATTTGTTGTCTGCTTTTAGGTTTGTCGCCACCCCACTCCGTCCTTTTTCCTTTATGAAATATTGAGTGAAGATTTTTCTTTTAAGCTCTGGTTATTTCTATGCTGAAATACTGCAATTGATAAACTACAGGTAGCCCATCAATGCAACTCTGTCGAAGAGACTAACATTCTACTCTGTCGAAGAGACCAACATTCTAGTCATCAACGAGTTATGTCTCGGGCGTGTCGGTATTTAGCTATGGACTGATAGTCATTCTGTGAACGAGTCTAGAGTACGCCCTGATATCATATTGAAAATTACGTTAAATATACTATCCACCTTCCTAATCGCTACTTTCCTAATAGCTTATAATACAGAACTATTATATAGGCGCTGAAAGCATTATTGTACCGGCAGGTGAGTACAGGCGACAGGGTGAGGTGACATGTGGTTTAACAGAATGATGACTTGACACGAACTACTGGGTAGTGTGACTAACCTCAGTGGAAATTGGCATCAGCAGTTTATAATTGGAGGAATATAAGCAGAACTAGTACGATGTGAATTTTACTAAGGCTGTTTTGTTATTGGTTAAAAAGTAAATAAATAAATAAATAAAGGTCTGTCGGATGCTATGGACACAGGGATCACTCTAAAAATGAAAAGTTGCCACCGACTCGCTATATTGATTCAGCCTAATCATTATTCGTAAACCTTGGTCGATTTTTCCTTAGATTAGTAGCTTTTTACCGGAAGGTGGGATAACGTAATCTATTTTACTAATAAAAGTACAAACACTACCTGTGTGCTGAAGGATCACAACATCACCGAAGGCTATTTGATAAGATAAATGGATAAACTGCTAATATATTAAACGGCTTTCGTGCCAAAAGTTTGAATTTATAAAAATATCATTTTACCACCCTTCACATTGGCTTGTAGATTGGATACAGACAAATTCGTGCATGTTATTATTATTTTTGTCTTTCATAGTTGTTCATTATTTACGAAATATTTCAAACGACGTTTTGAAATAATAACGAGGACTCTTTTATTGTTAACACTCTAGGGGCGTGAACTTTGATATAAAAACATAAAAGATAATGAATTCTTTATGAAAAGTTATTGAATGCATTTGTATATTATGTTAGGGTTTGTGACAAGCATTCTTTTATTGGAGATCTTTTAAATATTTGTTGACCGATTTTTTAAGTAGAAAAATTTGGGTAAAAGGGATGTTATTTGTGGGTTGAACCGCCGAATTCGAAGTTCTCGGATTGCACTGCGACTTGCGTGCAGGTTGATTGTTGAGCGCACGATCAGGTAGCATTCCTGTGACGAATACGTGCGATCGTTTAGGGCTGTTCATGTTACCAGGTCGATATCTTCGTCGTAATTGCAATTGTTCTGCGTATTTGGTATTGTTATCATTTTATATGTATATCACTCATATCAGAACGTGGTCAAGGCCTCCATTATCGACTATTTTTCATTTGTCTTTTTCCATTATATAAATCGTTTTAAACTATGTCCAGTAGCACTACGCTGTTCTGTTCAAGTATCAATTGTGACACCGACACCGCGCCATTATGCATAAACTAGAAAAATGCAATGATATATGTTGACAAAATTTGCTGGTAAAGAGATTTAGATGGACAAGGGCCAAAATGTGGTTGCCCTCTGGTCGTATGAATATTGTTGCGCCTTACAATGGGTCAGTGATGATGAAGGGTCAAGTGGCCAGATGGGTGAAATGTCACCACCCTCCCACGGGCCGAGTGTAACGCGTGCCTGTTATTCGATAAAAAAGAAAGTAGGCAACAAGTTGCTTTTATTTAAAAGCAAAGAACAAATTTGCAACATGTTTGCTCATGGCTTTAACTTCATTATGGCGTGTGTTGAAGCGACTCCTTATACCGAAGAGTAAAGGTTAAAAACATAATGAAAACTACACCGTAATGTATTAGATTGTTCTTTAAACAAGCTAAGAAAGGGAAACCGCGCCTGGCAAGCTTTATCTTTGAATGCGCTTACTGTTTCTTTTGAAAACGTATTCGTGACGGTGTATCAGTATTTCCGATTTCAAACCTACGTTGTCTTCCATGGCTGTACGTTGTTAG